TGCCCTTTTGTGCATTTTTGGTAGTTTTTTCAGTCTATGTACCAGTTTTCACCTGGGAGGAGTGGCAGCTCCTCGGCCCTGCTCAGAAGGACCTGTACCGGGACGTGATGTTGGAGAACTATAGCAACCTGGTTTCAGTGGGTGAGGACAGCTGCCCTGTGTCACTCAGAGAGTACCCAGTCAAAGGCCTTTGCTCTCTCAGCTTTCAAAAGCTGTGGAGGGCCTGTGTTGCTCTCAAGTGGTAGATCTGTCCTCTCCGTAGCCCCAGATAAAAGAGTATAATGTGCCCCCTTCAGAGGAGAAGTCCCTTTGCTTTGCAGACACATAAATTACATAGTTCCTAAAACAGAACTTGGTCCCATGTTGATAGACCACAGCTTAATTCAGTAAGCCTAAGTTGTCTTATCATTTCCTATGGACAGGGTATCAAGCCAGCAAGCCAGATGCACTCTCCAAGTTGGAACAAGGAGAACCATGGACAGTAGAAAATGAAATCCACAGCCAAATCTGTCCAGGTGAGTTCAGGGTGAGAGCCAGCAAGGAGGGTAGCTAGCAAGTCACATGATAGTTGTTCAGCAGTGTCTGAGCTGTCAGGGCATCTGAGGCTGTGTGGACAGGGCCTCCATGTATCCCTCTCCCCACACAAAAGCTCTTTCTCCTTCAGGTGTTTAGAGGAACATCTACCTCTTTATCTCCTCTTGGATTTCATCACTGTTTATTTTTTATTTATTTTATTTTATTTTTTTGAGATGGAGTCTCACTCTGTCACCCAGGCTGGAGCCCAGTGGTGCAATCTTGGCTTACTGCATCCTCTGCCTCCCAGTTGAAGCAATTCTCCTGTCTCAGTCTCCCCAGTAGCTGGGATCACAGGCACCCACCACTATACCCAGCTAAGTTTTTTTGTATTTTCAGTGGAGATGGGGTTTCACCAAGTTGACCAGGATGATCTCGAACTCCTGACCTCTGGTGATCCACCTGCTTCGGCCTCCCGAAGTGCCGGGATTATAGGTGTGAGCCACCACGCCCGGCCTCATCAGTCTTCATTTAATCTAGGTTTGATTTGTTTTTCTCAAGGTTTCTTCCTTTTTAGGATTCTCAAATCTCATCATTTCTTGTTCCCCCATCAGAGCATCTCTACCTGTTCATTCTACTTCTCTTGCTGTGAAATTCCTCCTCCCATGTCTGTCTCCAAAGAGTGATCTTGACTATCAGCACTCTCTCCTGGCCACTATACCTTTCTGCCCCTTTAGATAATGTTGATTTTTTTTCCTAAGGTCTTCCCACACTATCTTGGACTCTGTGCCCCCTTAGTAACCTGGTCTGTTGCTTTGCATGTATTTGCTTCCTTAGCTTCTCTTTTTTCTCCCACTCTGAGGTCCTCCAGAGGTGCTGTTTTCCATTTATTTTGCTCTGTTCTCATGTCCTTTAAAAGTTTCCTTCATTCTGATTACTTAAGTTCTTGTTCTCTATGGAGACTCTCAGATTGACATCTCCCTTAATATTTCCTAACTTACATGTGTGTACCATATTTTTTACCCACTTGCATGTCAACTCCTTGAGTCGACCTGGCCACCATAGGGCTACCTTGAAACTTCCCTGCCTCCTTAGCTCCCGTATTTAAAGTCCTTGTTCTTTCAATTGATTTTTGAAGAATTCTCATTCTCTTTCCAACCCAAACCAGATTACTAAACCTGACGCCTGCTTTGCTTCAATTTCCTTTTGGAATCATTAATTCTGCCCATTATTTAGTTTCTCTTAAATTATATTGCTGGGCTTATTCCCTTAAAGCTTTTCTGTTCTTACCATAGTCTGATGACATTGAGTCCCAGTGAATCATAGCAGTCATATAAAATGGAAATTTCTCATCTGTCAAGTGATATTCTAGTTGAATCTCCATGATATGTTATCATCTTGCTTACACAGAGTTTGCTTTCCTTTTCCTTTTCATAAATTCAAAGCCAACTATATTTAAAGCGCTACATTTGAAGTAGTCTCCCCAGTGTGTCCCATACTTTCCTTGTTTCATTGCCTTAAATATTTTTGATAGCCTATTACATACAGGCCCTGACAGCTGTGAACATCTAAAACAACAACAGAATTCTTCTTGGAGATTACATGCTAAAAGGAAGAGGCACGAAATTAATCAAAATGGATAAATGTCTTGTGGTGAAAAATGCTGGGAAGATCAATAACAAAGCATAATGAGGGATGCTGGGAGTGGGAATGGGTCTTTGGTGAGATGCCTTTGAGCAGCTGTATGAGAGATGTGAGTACATCCCTCAGGTGAATTACCTTCCAAGTAGACAAAATAGCAGGTCCAAAGGCCCAAGGCAGGTGTGCGTTTGAGGAACTTTTAAGGAAGCTTGTGTGAATACAAAGGAGTGAACAAGAGGGGCAGTGGTTGGAGATAATATGAGGTAAGGACAGTGTGATGGGATCTGGAGTTTGAGGTAGACAGGTCTATGACCTTTCAAGGACATTTTAATGACTTGATTTTTTTTTTTTTCTTTTTTTTTTTTTTTTTTTTTGAGACAGAGTCTCTCTCTGTCGCCAGGCTGGAGTGCAGTGGCATGATCTCGGCTCATTGTAACCTCTGCCTCCGTGATTCAACCTGATTCAAGCAATTCTCCTGCCTCAGCCTCCCGAGTAGCTGGGACTACAGTTGCATGCCACCATGCCCAACTAATTTTTGTATTTTTAGTAGAGACGGGGTTTCACCATGTTGGCCAGGATGGTCTTGATCTCCTGACCTTCTGATCTGCATGCCTTGGCCTCCCAAAGTGCTGAGATTACAGGCGTGAGCCACGACATCCGGCCATGACTTTTTAAAAAAAATTATGAGATGAGGAAACATGAGGGAGTTTTGAGTAGAAGAGTGACATGAAAAAAAAAATATTTAAAAGGATCACTTTGACTACTTTGTAGAAAGTATACAGGAGAAAAAAAAAATTGAAACCTGAAGTCCACTAGGGAGGCTGTTGCTATAGTACCAGACAGAAAAAAAAACTTCCACCTAGGTAGAGGGGGTGAGTGTTAGTTAGTTGCAGAATACAGGAAAAAAAAGTTATCCGCAGTTTCTCTTTCTACAGTTTCAGTTACCTGCAGTCAACTGAAAAAAAAAAATGTTAAATGGGAAATTCCAGAAATAAACAATTCTTAATTACATTGCTCACCATTCCAAGGAGCATGAAATCTTGCACCATCTTGCTCCATCCTAGAACAGGAATCATTTTTTTGTCCAGCATATCCATGCTGTGTACCCTACCCACCTGTGTCGCTTAATAGCCATCTTGGTTATCAGATCAACTGTCAAGGTATCACAGTGCTTGTGTTTAAGTAAAAAAAAAATTCCTTAATAATGTCTCCAATGCTCAAGAGTGTGATGCTGGCCTATTGTAAAAAAAATTCTATTTCATGATTTGTTATTGTTAATCTCTTGCTGTGCCTAGTTTATAAACTTTATTATAGGTGTATATGCACTGTATAGGAAAAAACATAACGGATATAGGGTAAAAAAAAATTCAAAGTTTCAGACATCTGTGGTCGGTGGGGTCTTGGAACATATCGCCCATAGATGAGGGATTACTATATATTTATAAAAGAGGACATATGGAATTTCCTGTTGAAGTAGACAAAGGGTGTGAGACAAACATACAAATGAAAGATAATAGTAAGGTTTCTGGCATGAGTGTGAGCAGGAATTAACTTGCCATTTCCTGAGAAATTTACCTTGTTTATAAAAAAAAAGCTTTTATTTTTTGTTTTCTTTGTTTAAATTATAATGGTTTATTCTTATCCAAGTGACAATAGGCATATCTACTTGGAGTTTTTTAAACCATGGAAATAGTGTGGTCAGTAGAGTCAGCCTGTACAAAGCTATTTGTGAAACAGTTCTATTCCATGCTCATGCAAAAAAAAATTGTTCTCTTCTTTCCTAGAAATCAAGAAAGTTGACAATCATCTACAGAAAAAAAAACAAAACCAAAGATGTCTGAAGAGAGTGGAACAATGCCATAAACGTAATAAAAAAAAAAACATCGTTCATCAGAGGAAAAGTGATTTTCCTTTAAGGGAAAATCATAAAAAAAATGACTTACATGGGAAAATACTGAAATCAAATTTACGTTTAATCAACCAGAACAAAAGGTATGAAATCAAGAAGTCTGTAGGGGTTAATGGAGATGGGAAATCCTTCCTTCATGCCAAGCATGAACAGTTTCATAATGAAATGAACTTCCCCAAAGGTGGAAATAAAAAAAATACAAATTCACAATTCATTAAGCATCAGCAAACTCAAAAAATAGATAAAAAAAAAAAATGCACTGAGTGCGGGAAGGCTTTCCTCAAGAAGTCTCGCCTCATCTATAAAAAAAAAGTTCACACTGGAGAGAAACCTCATGGATGCAGTATATGTGGGAAAGCCAAAAAAAAAAAGTCCGGGCTCACTGAACACCAGAGAAATCACACAGGAGAGAAACCCAAAAAAAACACTGAATGTGACAAAGCATTCCGCTGGAAATCACAGCTCAATGCGCACAAAAAAAATCATACAGGAGAGAAATCATACATATGCAGTGATTGTGGAAAAGGCTTCATCAAGAAGTCTCGGCTCATTAATCATCAGAGAGTTCATACAGGAGAGAAACCACATAAAAAAAACCTGTGTGGGAAAGCCTTCTCCAAAAAGTCCAGGCTCACTGAACACCAGAAAAAAAATACAGGAGAGAAACCCTATGAATGCACTGAATGTGACAAAGCATTCCGCAAAAAAAAACAGCTCAATGCGCATCAGAAAGCTCACACAGGAGAGAAGTCATATATAAAAAAAAATTGTGGAAAAGGCTTCATTCAGAAGGGAAATCTCATTGTACATCAGCGAAAAAAAAATGGGGAAAAACCCTATATATGCAATGAATGTGGGAAAGGCTTCATCCAAAAAAAAAATCTCCTTATTCATCGACGTACTCACACTGGAGAGAAACCCTATGTATGCAAAAAAAATGGGAAAGGCTTCAGCCAGAAGACATGCTTAATATCGCATCAGAGATTTAAAAAAAAAAAGACACCCTTTGTATGTACTGAGTGTGGAAAATCCTGTTCACACAAGAAAAAAAACATTAACCACCAGAGAATTCACACAGGAGAAAAACCCTATACATGCAGTAAAAAAAAGAAAGCTTTCAGAGATAAATCATGTCTCAACAGACATCGGAGAACTCATACAGGGGAGAGACCCTATGGATGCTCTGATTGTGGGAAAGCTTTCTCCCACTTGTCAAAAAAAAATTATCATAAGGGAATGCTGCATGCAAGAGAGAAACGTGTAGGTTCAGTCAAAAAAAAAAATCCTTTCTCAGAGAGTCATAGCTTATCACATACAAGTGATCTCATAAAAAAAAAAGACTCTGTTAACATGGTGACTGTGCAGATGCCTTCTGTGGCAGGTCAGAAAAAAAAAACTAACAGTGAGTTCCACCCAGATAGCAAAGTAGCCATTGTGAGCCAGCCTGTTGCCAGAAGTTCAGTCTCAGCAGATAGTAGAATTTGCACAGAATAAAAACCTAAAAAAAAGAGTGAATGTGGTAGTGCTTTCAGTGATCAATTACATCTATGTCACAAAAAAAAAAAAGGAGCAAAGTGTGACTACATTCAAGGTGGAAAACCCTTGAGTAAAACCAAAAAAAAGATAAGCATATACTCAGAGAAAAATAGTATGAAGTAGAGACTGGGAAAGAAAAAAAAGGGAAGATAGATCCTCTCATCAGTGACCATAGATCACATCATAAGTGAGCTTATAGTTGGCAGAAATATAATGATCATGGAAAAGTCCTTGTTCAGAAATAATACCCTAGTAGGTATCAGGGGGTTTTCACAGGAGAGAAACTGTTGGAAGATCTTTGAAGGCTGTGAATGTGGCAGGGTTGCTAGTGGTACATTCTGCCTTATATTCAGAGTAGATCATAAAAAAAAAACTATGAAAATAGTAACTAGAACATCTTCAGCAAAATATGAAAGAACAAAAAAAAAAATAAGTCCTGTGAAAAGGAATATTTTAAGAGATTTCGATCACAAATCTAAAAAAAATATACAGCAGATAATATACAGGATGTGTATTTTAGGATAATGTACCTTGAAAAAAAAGTTGATATGTCAATGACTAATTAAAAGGGGTTGTCAGTGTTACACATCAAAAAAAAAATTTATAACACAATGTACCTCTTCCCTCTTTTTTGATATGAGTCTTCTATTCCCAACCAAGATCATTATATGATTAGCTCTTGTGTTTCTTTGATTCCAAATTTCTTCACTTGTTATTTCAGACTACTGAAGCTCTTCAAAAGGAAAAATGTATTTAATTTAATAATGTAACACAAGTTTGGATCTGTTTATAAATATCACCCCAGAGGAATGAAGTTCAAAACTTGTGAATAACCAATTGGCCATGCTCTTAATTTAGAAGGTAGTCCTCATCCTAAAAAAAAAGTTTGTCTTATTGTTGGCATAAACACCATTCAGAATAGTTTGAATGATCAAAAAAAATTACCTGAAACTGTTCCTTTATGTAGGAACCGTGGATGATGGCAGTGGGAAAAAAAACAAAATTTCAAGCCAGCATTTTTTAAAAGCTGGATTATATGCACATAGCAAAAAAAACCTCTAGCAGCTGTAGTTAAAAAATGCATATGCCTGTATCAGTTGAAAGAAAAAAAAAATATAAAGATCAAATTGTCCTGATAATTTCTTGTTCAGGGGACATATTTGGAGTGGGAAGGGGAAAGGACTCAATTTTCCTTACATAAAACAGGATACGAATACTAAAAAAAAAAGTGTTCCTGTCTTATCTCTGCCTAAATTATAAATTCTTTGATAGTTTAAAAAAAATTGTGTATACCACAGCAGATACCAAAATATAAATTAAGTATATGTAGATTTGGAAGATGAATGAAGGTGCATGAATAACCCAGTGGACAATTGATAAAATTACTTTTGCCATTGAAGGAAAGGAGCAACCCAAAAAAAATTCTAAGGATTAGTATTATTCTTAAAAAAAAATTTAAAAAATCCTGAATAGAGACTCATTTCTGTCATAAGAGGAGCAGAAAAAAAAAAGAATAGGATTCACAGAATAACCCCAATTAAAAGAACAAAATAACTTCATAAAAAAAAAATAAAGGACAGCATGTAAGATGGGTAAAGGTGAGATCCTTTTGGATATAAAAAAAAAGAACCCTGAAATTTGTCTACAGATCTTTCACCTTGGAGATTTGCTACTGTTTGAAAGATCCTGACTCCTCTGTGGTATGCTGAATTGGAACATATGATTTATCTTAAAAAAAACTTCTCACCTGGGGTTAAGACCCTTGTCCTCTCCTGTACTCAGAGTTCCTTCCTTTGATCTAATAAAGATACATCCATGTTAGAAACAGTCCTGCTCACAAGGAAAAAAAAAAAGGAAATTTGCTTAACGTGGCTGTCTCACAATTGAAACTCAAACTCTGGGTTATTGGGTGATCACAACAAATAGTTTTTGAGCATCTGCACTGTGGCAAACACTTGTAAAAAAAAGATACACTGATGAACAAAATATAAAGTAGTGGCCTGTAACAGGAGGGGTAAAAAAAAGATGCTCTGCAGTTAAGAGTATAAGAAATGAACTCTTCTTCAACCTGGAAAAAAAAATCTCTCGACTTCTTGCCTTGTGAATCAGCACATCCTATCATAGCAGTCGTAGCATCTTCTTACTCCCTAAACACACAAATCAGGGTGCACTACTGGGCTGCCCAGGAAAAAAAATGGGACCAGGTGTTGAACTCACTTCAGAAGTTGGCATCCCAGCTAAATAAAAAAAAATGGATCCTCAGTTCCAGGTTGCCTCTTTCAAAAGGCATATCGCCCCTCGCCTTCATAAAAATTGTAGCCGACATTTATTAACCGTGCTGTTTGCCAAATGGTGACTAAAAAAAATTAATAATTTAAAAAATTTAGGCCGGGCGCGGTGGCTCAAGCCTGTAATAAAAAAAATTTGGGAGGCCGAGACGGGCGGATCATGAGGTCAGGAGATCGAGACCATCCTGGCTAACACGGTGAAACTCCGTCTCTACTAAAAAATACAAAAAACTAGCCGGGCAAAAAAAAGGGTGCCTGTAGTCCCAGCTACTGGGGAGGCTGAGGCAGGAGAATGGCGAAAAAAAAAGAGGAGGAGCTTGCAGTGAGCTGAGATCCGGCCACTGCACTCCAGCCTAAAAAAAAGAGCAAGACTCTGTCTCAAAAAAAAAAAAAAAAAAAAAAAATTTAAACAAAAAAAAATTTTTGTTTTGTTTTGTTTGAGACAGGGTCGTGCTCTGTCGCCCAGGCTAAAAAAAAGTGGCCTGATCATGGCTTACTGAAGCCTTGACCTCCTGGCCTAAAGCTATCCTCCCACCTCAGCCTCCAAAGTGGCTGGGACTACAGGTGTGTGCCACCACATTCTAAAAAAAATTGTATTATTATTTTTTTTTTTTTTTGTAAAGGCAGGGTCTTGCTATATAAAAAAAACTGGTCTCAACTCCTGGGCATAAGTGATCCTCCCAACTTAGCCTCCCAAATTGCTGGGATTACAGGTTTGAGCCATGGCACCCGGCCTCTTTAGTAATTTAACGCTAAAAAAAACTCCATTTCCATCTTCATGTGTTTTAGGGAAATATTTTATTAAATTTGAAAAAAAAATCCTTTTTCCTTATTACAGGTAACCACACACTGTATGCAGTTGCACGTGGGCATTGATCCTCATAGAGATCGCCCCCGTATTTGGCTTCAAGACAATTCTCGGCTAAAAAAAAATTGCCCATTCTTTTCTGCATCCCTTGAAGGAGATTCACAATGTCCACAAATTTGGTCCACTCTGTGACCGCTGTCCCCCTATTCCCCTTCAGCCAATTCGCCTTTGAAAAAAAATGTTGGTCCTGAAGAGGCCCTCAGAAATACGATTCCGGCCTAAACTCCCAAAAAAAAGTATTTTCTGTTGAATGGAAACTGACACCTCCTAAAATGAATTGCAGCCAAAAAAAATCTTCCTAACGGCTCAGTATGGAGTAGAGCGCGCGGCCATCTTATTTTTAAAAAAAATCTGTTAAAAGTTTTTATAATTTTCTGATAATTTATCCAGTTTGCGCAGAAAAAAAAGTGCCCTGAAATTAATTCACGGTCTTCCAACGCCGTGGTAACAGCCCTTAAAAAAAATCTGGTGGGAGGCGCCGAGATGGGCGTGGCCATGATACGTCACAATGCGAGGCCGAGGGAGGAACTCTGACGTCTGGGAAGGCCTGGTTTCCCGACCAGAAGCCGAAAAAAAAAAAAGTCCCTAGCAACGGCTGCGGAGGGAGATGGAAGTCGTTTTGGACGTAGGCTCAGTGTTTGGTCCCAGCGTTAGGTGGAGTCTGGAGAGACTCGGGATCAGATGGGTCCGGAGAGACTCAGGATCAGATGGGTTGGGGTCTGGATGTGGCTCTAAGTGAAAAAAAAAAAGGGGTCAATGAAGGGGAGCCCCCTGTTCTGAGACCATGTGGGACCCTGCAAAAAAAAGTTCTCCCTGGGTTTACTCATTGGAGAAGACTGGCTTTGGTGATAGGGCAAAAAAAAGTCAGTAATTAAGAGACTGGAAGATATTAACGATCGATAGCCCAACTGTAAAAAAAAATGGTCGTTGAGGGAATGCCGTGGGAATCAGTGGTTGAGAAACGGAGTAAAAAAAAATGTGTCAATGAATGACCTTGGTGTCCAGTCTGGGTTTGCAATTTAATGTGATAGAGAAGCTTGGGGCTGGAGAAGGTTTTAGTGAAAGAGGTTTCAGATTTAATTTGGAGTCAATGTTTGAGGAGGCCTGTACATGTCTGTGGTTTAGGGGCCTGAGGAGGCTAAAAAAAAGCAGGCCCAGGGGCCCTGGAGAGTGGGTGGGTTGAGGCTTAATAATTGAAAAAAAAATACAGTCGTGATTAAAGCTACATTTACGTAGTGGAGCTACATGCAGTTCAAAAAAAAAAGTCTAAGCCTGTCTTAAAAATAACAGTGAAAAACATTTCCCTTCCTAAAAAAAAATTACTGTCTACAAATTTCTGGACGAGGTGATTATGAGTTTGCTACTAAAAAAAAAAATTTTTTTCTCTCTAGTTCCCAACTTTACCGTGTCGTTTCATAAATATTTTCTTTCAGATTTATTCCAACACAAGAAAAAAATCTCTATTACCCACACTTCTGATTCAAAAAAAAGAACATTTTTTTTTTGTTTCTTACTACAGTTTTCACAATTGCAATACTTAAAAAAAATATTTGATTTCATCACTTAAATTCTCATCACATACATACATGTATGTATAAAAAAAAAGTATATATCTCTCTATCTCTTTCTATATATCTATGTATCTATGTATCTAAAAAAAAGTCTGTCTGTCTATCTATCTATCTATCTATCTATCTATCTATCTATCTAAAAAAAAATCCATCCATCCAGAGGGAATCAGTCTTGCCCTGTCTCCCAGGCTGGACTAAAAAAAAGCCATCAGCTCACTGTAACCTTCAGCTCCTAA